GTTTCTTCAGCCTAATGATGGCTTGCTTCACTGATAGTGACAGCTCTTTGGATCTCATCTTGAGAGTTGACAGCAACAGATTCCAAATGCAAATAGCACACTTGAAATGAACTCTGGGCCTTTTATCTGCACATTGTAATTGGGGTAATGAGGGAATATCACACACCTGGCCATGGAACAGCTGAGAAGCCAATTGTCCCATTACTTTTGGTCCCTTAACAAGTGGGAGGCACATATACAAACTGCTGTAAGTCCTACACCGTTCACCTGAGTTGGATGTACAAACCCTCAAATTAAAGCTGACAGTCTGCAGTTAACGCACATTGTGTTTGTTTCATTCCAACTCCATTGTGGTGGTGTATAGAGCCAAAGATGTTAGAATTGTGTCGATGTCCCAATATTTATGGACCTGACTGTATGTTATGTTATGTTATGTTATGTTATGTTATGTTATGTTATGTTATGATATGATATGATATGATATGATATGATATGATATGATATATATTAGACTCCAGACCCCCTAAGATCTCTGAATGCAATTGCAGTTGAGCTGCTCTACAGTCAAGACAATAGTTGCTAGATTAAGAAGAAGAGAAGACACTAATAGACACATCAAGATTTGAATCTGAAAGTCTGGGCAGTCTACATGTAGCTACAAATAGACTAAGTCCAACCTCTCCTGAATTTCATTAACTTTTACCTAGCACCAAAATAGTGCTAATGATTAGTTGAATATATTTGTGTGCATAGGCATGAGCAATAAATCAGTTTACTTGGAACTTTACATGTTGGCCTGGTCTTTCATGCCTGACATGTCCCCACAGTCACATGATCGCAATTCAAGTGCTTGGCAACTGACTTTATTTATTTATTATTTATTTATTTATTCATATTTGTATACCGCCCTACTCCCGAAGGACTCAGGGCGGTGAACAGCCATAATAAATACAAAGACATATAGAAGTTAAAAACTATTAAAAAACAGATTAAGTAATTTAGGCTCAAAGATTAAAACATCCAAATTTATCTAAAAGAGATCTAAAACCCGATTTAAAAGCCAATTTAAAAGCCAATTTAAAAGGGAGAGTTAGGCCAGACCAGCCTGTTGGAATAGAAAGATGATGAGAGACACAGAATCCCCCTGTCACCTGATTACTATTTGCAACTTTCATTGTTAGCTTCTGACCAACAAAATCAATGGGGAAGCTAACAGGATGGCACAAATGGCAATCATGTGACATCATTCCTAACAACCTTGCAGGATTCGCTTAATGACAGCAACCAGTAGTGGTGCAACTTCTGTCATAAGTCAATGTGATCATTGTTAAGTGATGAGTACCTGTATAGATATTTCCATCTCAGTACCAGTCCAAATTATGTATGATAATATCTGCATTGTATCCAGTCTGTTTGTTTGCCTACATGGTCCAGATTGTCTACTCGACTGGCCCCTTGGAATCTCAAGCTGGAATTCCTCCAAACTTCTCCCTCAACTACCACTAGATTTCTGCTTGAACTTTTATTCGGAAAAGAAAGGGAAAGGATGAAACCCCAAATATATACAACATGAGGGATTTTGTGTATGTGTGTGTGTATCATGGTTCTCTTCTTCTTGGAGGGGGCTAAAGTATGTCCATTGGTTGTGTTTTGTGTTGAATGGGACACAGCACTTATATTCTGCTTGCAATTAACTAGGTAGGTTTGCAATTCTTTACCCATCAAAAGAGACCTGCAGTCCCCTTTCTCTGCTTGATAGGAATAACAGTTTCCCTCCCTGCTGCAATTATTATTTATTTAATTCCAATCAATGACCAGCAGAATAAAAAAAGATCAAGCCTCTTTATTTTTCCTCTCTCTTTTCCATCTGTTATAATCTTTATAACCTCTTATAGACATGCTTAATTTCTTCTCCTCAAACACTCACTTTGTCTATGCCATAAGAGGGTCAACCAATTAATCCCCATTGCTACTACCTCAAAGACTCCACTATTAGAAACTGAGACATCTAGAAATTTAATTTCTTCCCCTTCCTCTTATTCTCATATAGGCCAAGGCAGGCATGCATCCCTTCACCAAGTTGCCCTATTCTGGCCCATGCTGAAGCTTTCGAAGCTATGCAAAAGCTGAGCCGAAGCTCAACAAGATTCCCTGGTGAAAAGACCCATAGTAATTGCAACAGTAAATTGGCATGATCCTTATTTGGCTAATAAATACTTTATTTGCACGTGCAAAGTCAATGGGAAGCAGTCTTCCCTTGGTAATGAGATTTTAAGGCAATTAATCTTGAGGAAAGGGAATTTACTGCTCATCCTGCCGTGCGGCCGGCTGCCGCTGCTCCACCAGGAACCATAAAGGCCCTATTTGCATCTCATTAAAGAGAAGAAGGTGAGACAAAGGAAGCTCCCTGACTTCTCCCTTGCATCCTAAGAGGCAAAGCTGCCTTTTGAGGAAGAAAAAAAAATGCAGCACCACTCACAGGAGGGATCAAAGATTTCAGCTTCCAGCCAGTCTAATATGAATAAAGGGCAGGGGTAGAATTCAGAGATGAAAAAAAGGCAAAAGAGAGTCTAAATGAGAGCCCAGATTTGGCATTTTGCAAGTTCTTTGATATATTTTAGTTCTCTAACTGGTACTCGTAACACTAAATCTGTTCTTCAATATGTTGATGGTCCATTTGCAAATACCTTATTCCAAACCCTGTCCAGCAATAGCACATAGACTTATATACCGCTCCACAGTGCTTTGCAGTCCTGTCTGAGCAGTTTACAGCGTCAGCATATTGGCCCCAACAATCTGGGTCCTCATTTTACCCACCTCGGAAGGATGGAAGGCTGAGTCAACCTTGAGCCTGGTGAGATTCGAACTGCCAAATTGCAGGCAGCCAGCAATCAGCAGAGGTAGCCTACAGTACTGCATTCTAACCACTGCGCCACTGCGGCTCTGTCTACATGGAAAGGGAGGCAGATATTGAGAACAGTCATGGGAGTGCTGTGGTTTGAGAGTTAAATTAGGACCAAGGATACCCAGATTCAAAATTCATCTTAGCCATGAAACTCATTGGGTGACTTGGAGCTATATATAATCTCTATATCCTAAACTACTTTTCTCACTTTGGGGGAGAATAAAAAGGGGGAGAGGTGCCTTGAGTTTTATCCAGAAAGGCAACTAGAGATAGAGTCATGTCATTAGCATTGTTTAACATCTACATGAAGTTGCTGGGTGAGGTCATTCAACATTTTGGGGTGAGGTATCATTAATATGCTGAAGATACTAAGCTTTATAATTATACCTTGGATTGCCTGAGTATTGCCATGGAGGTTCTGTCTCAGTCCCTTAAGGTTCTGTGGGGGAGGTGGTGAGGTTGGATGGGGAGCAAGAGCTTAAGTTCAACCCCAAGCAAGGCAGAGTAGCTCTGGGGTTTTGGATCTCCTGGATCCAGAGACCTTCTATCTTTGGTTCTGAATGGACTGGCACAGTGCCATCTAGACTTACAGCTCCTGTTGAATGAGGCAGCCATGGCTGGGACAGCCTTTGCACAATGGTGTGTCAGTTGTGCCCATTCCTGAACCCAGGGCCCCCCACTCACATGTACTTATGGCTGTGTGACCTCCAGACTGGACTATTACTCTTTATTTGGAAGTTTCAACTGGTGTAGAAAGCAAAGGCATAGATAGGCACTGGCACTGGTTACTCAGTGCATGTGACACCACTGCTTCCCAATTGTCTCTACTTGTCCTACCTGATCCAGCAGGAGAGACCTGCTCTGGGTACCATTGGCTAAAGCATGTTGGCCATTGGCAGACCCTTTTCTCCAGTGGCATTTTGAAACACCACCTCCCTATCTATTCAACAATACAATCACACTTATGATTATCATTGTGTCATCTTCATCATCATTATCATCATTGTTGTCACTCAGTGAAACCATTGTGAGCTAGAATTTGCAAAATCCAAGAGATTGTCAAATGGGAATATATGCACAGTTGATACAGCCAGAATAGGTGGCTGTAGAAATGCCAGCAACAGCATGAAGCTAGTGATACCCAATGTTGTATAATGATTAGGATAGTTAATAAGGAGCGGTTCTTCATCACAACAAAACATCTTTCCTAGATGATGGGGTGCTCTTCACAATCACATGAATGTTCTTTCATTCAATCTGAGAGCTACAACTCAAGTATATCAGCATATTCTGTACTGCCTTCATTACTAGTATTTTAGTTTAGCAACCAAGTCAGCAATTAGCACTTAACTCAAATTTAATGTGGCACAAATGAAGGAAAGAGATAGGTGAATTTCCCTGGTGTTGTTATTCAACAGGAAAATTTTGATAGATGGCTAAAATCCTGGTCCTGAACTAGCTGTTTTGGGGTAGAGGGTTTCTGCCCAATAAAGGAAGTCTTAGTTGGATGGTAAGATCCTTTCTCCTTCATAAATCAGGTACTGAAGAATATTTTTAATGACCATGAGTGAATGATTTTGAGGATATAATGTTGGGAGGGCACTTCAAACTCCTTTCAAGAAATGTCTTCTATAAATGACACCAAGATTTTAGGGTAGGAGATGAAATCAGGCCACAGATCAGAAGTTTTGCTCTGTTTAGATTGGATCATAACCAGTGGTGGGATTCAAGTAATTTAACAACCGGTTCTCTGCCCTAATGATTTCTTACAACAACCAGTTTGCCAAACTGCTCAGAAAGTTAACAACCAGTTCTCCTGAAGTGGTGCGAACTGGCTGAATTCCACCACTGATCATAACTACCACTTCTCAGGTTTGGGGGATAATAACTTCTGTTCATCAGGCCTCAATTGGATTTCATCAGATCTTATTTCCCAATCTTATAAAAATCAGGGATAAATCCCCAGCAGTTGTGAATGAACTGGAGAGAAAGGAGAACAGGAAAAGAGCATGGGGCATGCTGGCACCCCTAACAAATCTAAAGGCTCCCATTGCTTAAGCCACCTTCTCCCACAGATAGGAAACACTTTGCTTACTTTCTCCATGAGCTGCCGTAGTTGCCGGCTGCGCAAGTCTCTTGAGCAGGTGCCCTGAACAGGGATGACTGCTGTGCACAGACATTTGCCATCAGGAGCCTGAGCTGACGTGTAGACCTGCCAACCTTCATCTGGGCTTTGGAAGAGAGTCTGTGGAAAGAAAGAAAGCAGATAACATTGAATATAAAGGTTGCACAGCTTGCAATCCAAAAGTGTGGCCCTTTGAGTCGGTATTACACTGCTAAACTAGTTGTAGCATTATCACTTCAAAACAAGACGTTGAAGAGGCTTTAAATTGGCAGTTTGGCGATGTCATAGATGTCCGTGGGACAACAAGCATCAAACAATTTAAGGGTCAAAGCATCTGGAATCAGGTATAGGGCTCCCTGCAAATATTACTACTGCTACTACAACTATTCTTACCAATAGGTAAAAGGCAAAAAGATCCTCACAAAGTTGTGATCATGTATCATGAAGTAAATTGGTAGGTAACCACAGCTGACCCAACACATCCAGGAAGATTCTGAATTAATCTAGAGCAGTGTTTCTTAAACTATTGGTTCTCAGGATTTCTTCCCATTTTAAAAAATCTTAGAAGACTCCAAAAGAGCTTTTTTTTGTATGGGTTATTTTTCAAAAAATAATATAATTTTTAATTATAAAGCATTCATAAATATTTATTTCTTGAATCATGCACAAATAACAATAGTAAAACCATTCAATACTAATATACCATATTTTTCACTCCATAAGACGCACTCGCCACCCCCCCCCCAAAAAAAGTGGGTGGAAATGTCTGTGCGTCTTATGGAGCAAATATTGCAGCCGACTGTGGTGGCAAGGTCCTTTAACAGTGCTGAACCCTGCTGGAGTGCAGGAGTCAATAGACAGAGCTGGCACATGAGAGGACACCTATCTGTGGCCCTCTCAGGCTCCGCCTCCTGCCCTCACTACACTGCTGCTCCACATTCGGCGCTCCATATTCACAGTGAGACGGCGCTCCATATTCATATTTTTTTTCTTGTTTTCCTCCTCTAAACCTAGGTGCGTCTTATAGTGCAAAAAGTATGGTAAATAGAATATTCATAAAATATTTTAACAAATAAATAATAATTGGACAAATGTGCCAGCCTTATCAGCAACAGAGGAAAAAGAGTGAAAATTATACGCACGATTCTTATTTATTGTTTTAATGTTTTATATGGTATTTTAATTGTATGACTGCAAGCCATCTAGAGTCACCTCAGTGAGATGGGCAGCATAGAAGTTTAATAAATAATTTTTTAAAAAAACCTGAACAAATCAAGATGCCCTATGTGAGAAAACATCAAGAATCTGGATGAAGATTACTACAAATACCTGGGCACCCTTCAAGATGACAACATCAAGTACACTTGATGTCAAGAAGGTCAGAAGTGAATACATCATGAGAGTGAAAAAGATCTTAAAGTCCAAACTCAGCAGAGAAAATATTATCAAGGCAATTAACACCTGAGCAATTCTAGTCATTAGATACATAGCTGAATTCAAGCAGAACTAAAAGTCCTGGATAGGAAGACCAGAGAAATAATGACAATGAATCATGCTCTTCTTGATCCACGCAGCAATGTGGACAGATCAATTAGCCTAACAGAGAAGTTAAAACTTTCATCCTCATATTCAGGATTCCTACATATACCAAATAACTTGGACTGGATCTCTGCTTTCATTGATAGGAATGAGAAAGTGATCAAGTGGACTGCACATTTCTCTGTAACCATGAGCAGCTTCCCACTATAGTATTCTTTGCGTGTATACATGCCTGTAAACATGTCTTGGAGCTGTCAAAAAGGATGATTGGGGGATGTATGGGATAGCTACAATGTGCATGTTGTATTTAGCATTCAAAATTCGGTGCTGCTCTGTGATAACATGATATGTGTTTGTATCCTCTTTGAACACTGGCATCATCCAGTGGCATCATCCATTACCAATAAAAGGTGCCAAGGTGCTTTTTCCTTCTCTCCTACTCCCACTCCCCATTTACTTGAAATCAAAGCGGAAGTGACCTTGAATACATTTTAATATCCCATGTTCTTGTGCCTAAGAACTCATTTTTTTCTCTCTGGAAGACTGCATTGCAGAATTCTGAAAAGTGTAGGTATCAAAGAACAAATGCATTTTGCTGACTTTTTGATCAGACCTACCCATAATTACAGTTCCTGAATCAATATGCAACACAGAACGCATTTAGTCTTACAGAGTGGCAGCTTTCTCTTCTCCAAAGTGGCTCTCAAAATGTACACAGTAAGGAAAAGTACACACAAAAACATGAAGTTTAGGAAGGGGTGGGTGAATGTGTGTGTGTGTGTGTGTGTGTGAGAGAGAGAGAGAGAGAGAGAGAGAAAGAGAAAGAGAGAGAGAGAGAGAGAGAGAGAGAGAGAGAGAGAGAGAGAGAGACCCCATAACAACCTTATATGAAGAATTTCTTTAAAAAAATAATAATTACCAAGCAGACTATTTTGAGTAAATATAATTTTGAATTAAATGAAACCATGTGTACATGATGGAGCCCCTTTGTTAGATGTGTTTTTGTTTATATTTTTGTATAGAACAAGCAACTCAATTTGTTTTGTTTGCTATTAGATTGTTATTGTTTTATATGGTGAGTAGTTTCAAGTGAAGCGTGCCTGAATTGAATTCAATAGAATGAATGAATGAATGAATGAATGAATGAATGAATGAATGAATGAGCAAGCAAGCAAGCAAGAGGACTGTATTATATTCTTTGAATCTCAGTACGCGTCCCTCTGTCTACCTGAAAAGAAAGAGAGTTTATAATTTCTAGATTTTTTTGTTTTAAAATAATCACTGTACTGTCACAATTCTGTGCATCATCGTCTTACTAAGGAGTAAGTGCTGTAGAATGCAGGTCTTTTCATTTCTAAGTTAAATTACTTTGAATTGTCCTGTGAAATTACTTTCTTGGCCTTTAAAGGGCAAACCTTTGTTCCTTTCATAAATAACAATAAAATATTCCCTTCAGGCAGGATACAGGCAATTCAAGGAAATCGGTTGGTTTCTTTTCATGCAGAATATGTACACTTCCTCTCTCACACATTTTTGTCAAAATAGGTGAACGTTATAAATGTCACCGCTTCTTTGCAATGGCTCAACACACTTTACTGATTTATCTTTCTGGGTGCATAAAGCCAGGCTTCAGCATGGTTTCTTGAATGATCTCTATGGTGTGAGCCTTGTCTAGACTGTCAGTTGTTCAAGTCAGGTAGAGAATACAATGGTAAAAAAAACCCCATGATTTCAAATCTGCTTCTAGTGTCTCAGCAGGTGGCAGCATCTGGTTGAACCTCTCTGGTCTCAGAAGCTAAATGAGTTCAGGTCCGTTTAATATTTCGATGAGGGACACCCAGGGAACCCCAGGATTAAATAAAACAATGGCAAATCACTTCTGTTTTGCTGCCAAGTAATTACATGAACATGTCTGTAAAGTCAGCAGGAGTCATGTGCAACATGAAAGAAACTACTTTCTATATCTTTGTAATAGTGCAGTCATATCTTACTTTACAGAGCATAATCCTGTAATGGAAAGATAGCTCATCCCAGTCCATTGTACCAAAAAACAAGAGTATAAAAAAGGAAATCATGAACCTCCTTGGAGATGTCTATTGACCTTTCACATCAAGACAAGAGTGTGAGAAGTTGGTTCATTGGTCAAAGGGCCAGTCTTCTATAGTACTGTGAAATACAGGTAGTCCTCGACTTATGACCACAATGGGGCCCAACATTTCTGTTGCTGAGTGAGACAGTTGTTAAATGAGTTTTGCCCCATTTTAGAACTTTTCTTGCCACAGTTGTTAAGTGAATCACTGCAGTTTTTAAATTAGTAACATGGTTGTTAAGTGAATCTGGCTTCCCCATTCACTTAGCTTGTCCGAAGGTCACAAACGGTGATTTATTTATTTATTTATTTATTTATTTATTTATTTATTTATTTATTAATTATTCATATTTCTATGCCGCCCACTCTCCGAGGACTCTGGGCGGCTTACACCAAAGACAGTATATTAAATAGCATATTGCCCCCCAACAATCTGGGTCCTCATTTTATCCACCTCGGAAGGATGGAAGGCTGAGTCAACCTTGAGCCGGTGAGATTTGATCCGCTGATCTGCTGAACTAGCAGTCAGCTGAAGTAGCTGCACTACTGCACCCTAACCACTGCGCCACCTCGGCTCTTCATAGGTGATAGCATTACCCTGAGACCCTGCAACCGTTATAAAGGTGAGTCAGTTGCCAAGCATTTGAATTGATCACATGACCATGGAGATGCTTCAATGGTTGTTATGTGTGAAAAATTGTCATTAGTTGATTTTTTTCAGTGTCGTTCAAACAATCACTAATTGAACTGTTGTAAATCGAGGACTTCCTAACACGGTGTTGCTAATTTAGATTATAGCAATTATTTCTAAATGTCTATCTGTCCACACATTAGCATGTAGAGAAATATTTCTCTTTCTTTTTCTAATTTTATAAAGGTTTTGGAAAGTATTCTGTACCCTAGTCTAAGAGTAATTGGGATAAATCTTGCTAACTTCCCCTGACCCCTTAAACATTAATACAGCTATTATACAGTATGTAGAGAGATGAGTTTTGTGATTTCTTTTTAATACATTAAAAATCTGGAGCTTTATATACCCTAAAGAATGTTTAAATATGTAGAATTAAATATATTGAAACTTTTAGAAAGGGTTGAATCGGATTTTAATAGATGAGTTAACAGTTCTTTACGTTGTTGGGATTAAAAATAACATTATTAATCTCTTGTTTGATATTTGTTCTTAGAGATATTGTCGAGAGCCCCTTGACAACTCATAGGCAGTCCTAGCCTATGCCTTCTGGAGCACGCAGCCGGGCTTTGCCAACTGTCAGCGGCAACGAATGGGGGGGGGCAGGTGGCAACGCAAGTGCACACTGGTGGTGGGGGTGTTAGGGGCTAACCATAGGCAGCTGGTCACGCAGCGGCCGGGATAGGGATTATTTTGACACTTTCCGCCCGACGCCGGCGCCACAGTGAGAGGTCTGCATTGCGCGCATGAGCTGTGGCCAAGATACCCAGAAGGGCGTGGAAATAACTGGCGCAAGTATTGAAA